ATTTTCATGCGGATATCTGACATAATTCCTACTTAGAGAGCGGTAGAAGGGTAGAACTAGATAAAGAGAATGGCGCGTCGACGTGCGTATGCGTGTCCAGGTGATGGCCTCCGAAGACCACGTGAGGGATCCATCCTTGCGAGGGCGAGCTGCCAGGGGCCTGGGAGACGGTGAAAGGAAGCTCCTTTTAGGCGTTGGAGCACGGAACTGAGGTGAAACTGCTGCATCGTCTTTGCTTCGCATTCCGGTCTTGGAGGGACCGAGCGTAGCAAGAAGAAGTTAGCAGCTTCATTTGGATCCGCGCCCGGTCTTGAGGACAAGCTGAACTTGCCACCATTCGACAAGCACCTCATCCCCTGCTTGATCAACGTGTGATGCTCAAACCCGCTACAGAAGCTTTCTGTGCTCGAAGCAGTCTTTCGTGATCGTCAACCCTTGCGCTCACAGGTCTTCATTGCTGTGGAGAAAGCCATCATGAGCTACTACGACTTGTCCTACCGATACAAGTATGAGGCGCCAAAGCTGTGTCCAAAAGAGGCCTAGAGCCTGAACCCTGCCCTGAACCCTAAACCTAAAGTCAGAAACTTGGGGTACGTCATTCAGAAGTCTCTATATCATTCCGGATCCCTTACTTTCTGAACTGCGCCAGCTCCGCGTGCCTGTCATGGACCTCTTCGACTTGGCCTTGCAGACAGAAGGCCATCGCGAGGCCAGGCCATAGAAAGGCAGAGTTTTTGAGGGGTCTAGGGTTTAGCTTAGGGGTGAGAGTCCCATTAGCTTAGGGGTGAGAGTCCCATGAAGGCATCCCAAAAACAGTTCATTCCAGTCCATGGCCTCAGGTCCTTGAGAAGTTCATCAATGGTGATGGCAATGATAGATTTCAGAAGGCCTGAGCAAGCAAGCTTTGATGCAGCGAAGACCTCCTGCCACGGATGTTCTGCACAGTTGCTGACCCAACTCATCAATGACAGCAACTCTCAGCTCGAGGAGGCTATCAGAACCGTGCAGGACAGCTTCTGCCTTCGGACATACCGCATCATGGTTTGTTCTGTTCCAGTTGCAGTTCCAATTCTTAATGTTGTTACTCTTCTCGTCTTTGGTGCTTGACTTCGTCGTCGCATGCCAATAATTGTAAGACTACTACTTGATAGCCAACGCATATGAGACCTAAACCCTAAACCCTAAACCCCCAAACTCTAAAACCTAAACCCTAAACCCTAAACTCTAAACCCTAAATGTTAAACCCTAAACTCGGATCTCTGCATGTTCTCAGGAATTCCATGCGAAGCAGAGCGAGAGCGCTTCCTCCGGTTCCGTCGGCTCCCCGTGCAGCTGCCTTTCTCTCCCATGGTAGGAGATATGGGGGTTTCCGAAAATAGGGGACCCTAATATAGCACCCGAAAAAGGAGGATCCGTATGAAAAGGACCCCCAAATAAGGTACCCCAAATGTTCGGAAAGTCCCATATCCCGAAACCCGACAGGGCCAGGGTTGCAGAGCCATCTTTAGTTTTAGAGCACCAAGTCAGGCTTCTCACCGGCACGATGAGCAGGCAAGGAGCAAGCCCCTATCAGATATCATGGGTCTAAGTGATCATGACCTCCCCCTAAACCCTAAACCCTAAACTCCTAAACCCTAAACCGTTTGTACCGTGCAGATCTGGAGCTTTGGAGGTCTTGGAGGATGACCGGACTGGTGACGGTGATGAGGCGGAGGACATCTATCGGCGAAGTCGGATGAACTACAAGGCCTGGTAGACTTAGAATCAGAAGCTTTATGGTTTCTCAGAGACAAACCTCCAGGAGCATGCCAAAAAGTACTTTGGCTTGGCTTCGAGGCGAAGCTGTCGAAGAAATTCTCCCTCTCCTAAAAAGATAGATATACACATAGACAGGGAGAGGGAGACGGAGAACGAGACTGGATTTGCAGCCACATATATGTATGCATGTGTTTCAACCATGTAGTATCTTTTTTCCAGGACATGGAAGCAGATGTGGCTGCTCTGCAAGCTCTGCGCTCCGACCATCGTGGCCGGCTCCGTCGGGCTGGAGCAGCTACTGCACTCCTCGCTCGACGCGTGCCACGTCCGCAGAACACGAGACAGTACACTTTGAACTTTGAACCCTCAAGCTCATACATCAGCGCTGCTGTTCGAGCCTCGGAGCTTTGGTTAGAGATTGTCCAAGGCAGCTTCATTACCTGGTAGGCGGGAGCTGCTTGAAGTCTTGAAGCTTTGGCACGACCACATGAAGAGCAGCATATGGATGAGTTCCAGGGCCCGACATGAAAAAGATCAAGGCTTCACCTCAGGAATACGATGAGCTTGGATTCAATCCCAAGGCCACCCGTTACGAGTGGTTCGGAAGTTCAATTTGGTGAGCTTGTCTGCCGAGAGGAGCTCATCAAACAGATTGTGGAGATGTATCTGTTCCTTGCGAAAGCGAATAAAGCAGAGGCCAGACTGTTGCCGCAGGTCGAGGCGGCCTCGATACCGCATCGTCCCTCGGATCCTCCGGTCCCCAGGTGGTTCGCGTGGTCGGCAAAGATGAGCGATACTACAGCGACTCCCCTGCACTTTGGCACTCGGTGAAGTTCTTAGGAAGTCCAAGTCCATGTCCAGGCAGCAACACCTTCAGCAAGGCCACGAACTTCGTCAGGACACTGCCTTCAGAAACCGCCATGGCACAAAGACGAGCAGCTGGATCAAAACAGACATTGAGGGGAAACGTGCTTGTAGATGTAGCATACTCACCGGGGAGATGGTCCTCACACAGTGGACCCACGCAGCCTTAACTGTTGAGCGTAGCAGGGCCGCGGTGAAGGAGAAGGCTTTCACATGCCCTTGCCTTGTTGTGGACATCGTAAGATGTCTCCAGCAAGGAGGTAATTAACCGACTTAACCAAGAAATCATAAACTTGCTGTGGATGGTTGTCAATTTTTCATCCAACGTCGTGCTTGGTTCGACCGTTTAAGCTTCGAGCCACATTCCGAAAGGATTGCTTCACCATTAAAGAGCTTACACCATGAAGCTGCGACTCAAGCTTCCTTCTCGAGAAGTCATGGTGGTATCGATGTCCCTGTCACCTACAATGGTGGGGAGAGACCCAGGAGCAAACACGAAGCTAGGCGTTAAAGAAGCATCTATGACCCCATCGATTTTCCACTTGCCTGCTTGCAAAGAGGGTAATCGCATGCGCATATAGCTTCCGTGGACATTCCTGATACCATCTGATACCTCACTCTTCAATCCTATACCCTAAACCCCACAATCCTAAAGCCCTAAAACCCCTAAGCCCTAAAGCCTGGGTGGCTCTATGCACAGAGAGATTCCCCCCCTCCGGGGGGGGGGGGTTAATATAATATGATATAAGTAAGTATATAATACATTATCAAATGATCGTATAATCCTATACTATTTGTGAAAAAAGAGCGCAGGAAGTACGGCCTGCTGTCCAGTGGCGACCTCGAGGCCTTCACGGACTTCTGCAAGGACCCCGGGGGGATGAGAACAAAAAGGGAGCGGAGCGGGTTAGTGGCTTTCGGGTTTTGGGTTTTGGGTTTTGGGTTTTAGGGTTTAGGGGGAGCTACCTGAAGTGGGTTTAGGGTTCCTGAGTCCTGTTGGCTTTGTGGAGTTCCAGGAGCTCGCAGAGAAGGTGTCGCAACACCGAGCGGCCTTCGATGAGGTCCACCCCCAACACACGGATTGCTGCTAGCGTCAGCGCGAGATTCTGACAGGCAGAGATCCCGCAAGAGTATCTCTGTGAGATCATGGCAGACATCATGTCGGACCCGGTGATGTTCCCGCAAAGCAAGAAGGCCATGCAATGCGATACCGCATGGCTCGCAGAGTGCTGAGCGGTGGTGGTTCGGGAGCCGTCAGGTTGCGGACAGAACCGCAGCCCTTCGGGTCATCATGGGCTCGAAGCTCAGACCAGAGCATCTAAAGAACATGGCCGCATTGCGCGTTGGACCTTGCAAGGTGCGGACAAGGATCCTTTTGCCAACACGCCCCTCAAGGTGGAGGACAGAGAAACCAAGGGGATTAATAGCAGCCTCTCAAGCAAAACACCTTTTGAAGCCAAAAAAGCCCTGATGCAAGCCCAGTATAAAAGCCCATAGAACCTGTTCAGAAGACTTCTGAAGGAGCTTGTCCCCCAGACCGAGCTGAAAGAGCAGATCCACAGATTTGCCAAGGAGAAGGCCCATATTGCAGATGAGCCGAACAGACATCCTTCTCGCAGCTTTTGGGAGCCGTTGTGCTGTGTTTTGTCTCTCATGTGTTGTTTTTTCAGGGCATCGCGCTGGAAGGCGGCAACATGTTCGACTGACAGGATAGCCTCTTGCAGGTCTAAGCCGGGGCTGCGCCGCAGCGGGAAAAGACGTGACGTCGAGTACCGCTTGTACACAGGGTTGAGGAAGTGCGAGGTGAGAGCTTGCCAATGGCGCTCCTCTCTGCGTCCCTGACTGAATCGCTGTCTGTCGGCTTCCGGAACAAAAATCGAAGACAGGAGCTTCTTTTGGGGGGAACACTCTTTGATGCCTGGGGCATAGTGGCATTGTGATGAGCAGTTGTCAGGGGCATCATCATTGTTCCGCTGGATGAGAGGCAGAACACCAAGGCGCCTGTTGAGTCAGAGTTGGTTCCAGGCTAGTCGTTTGCAGCGGCTTGTTCTGGAATGCGGAGCGCCTCTCGGGTCTCATCGCCACTGCTCTACCGTCTTGGTGGAAGTCTGGTGTCAAAAGCATTTCCGGCAGGTCAACATGCCTCTCAACGAATCGCGCCTGACTGCAGCTGGGTGCTCAAGATTACTCTCCTTGACCTGTACTTCCGTCCCGGTGCATCCCAGGCAGTGGAGCTTTCCCTCGACCAAGATAGAGGACCGAAGAAGACCGGTACCCGAAAACTCCTCCACCAAAGCTCGAAACAGCAACAAGAACCGGTAACCAGGGTCCCCGAGTCCTAGTAACTTCTTCAAACTCACTCCCGGATCAAACCGAAGCGGAGGAGCCAGCCCCGGCTTTGTGCTCCGGGCTTAGCCCCGACTTCGATGCTTGTCTCCAGTATCATGCTAAACTCTAAGGACTAACTACGGTGCTAGGGTTCCACGGTTTGGGTTTGGGGTCTGGTGATCTTGGTGTTGGTATGCCGCTGCCTGTAGTATAGGTAGTTGCTCGCACGGCTCTTGCTCTTCCTGCAGTTCTCGGATCCGATTGCTCCAACTCTTTGAAAGGCGGTCGGTGTATTTCTATTCTTGAGGTTACCTCTGCTAGTTTCTTCCAGTGTGGGAGTGCCCCATTATAAGTATCCTCGAAGTTTGGGTTCGACCTTCTTTGCAGCGCAGCTGAGGCCGGATATCCGGCTGAGCGACGAGCCCGAGGCCAGGGTCCCAGGTGCCAAGGCACTGAGCAGGGATGTTGAAGGTTTTCAGGGTTTGTAACGCTTGAGACCCTGCATATGCAGTGTTGGGCATGGTCTAAGAGCCTCCTCCCTGAGGCTGCAGCAAAGTCTGCAGGCAGCGATTCCAGTGCGAGCAAGGCGACTGGGTCTTGCTGCTGTGTTACCCTGCATGTTTGGTCATCTTTGGTCACTGTCTGTGACGGGTCCCTGCATCTCTGCAATTGGCCCTGAGGCGGATGCCACAGAAGGCTGCTTGCATCTTTCCGAAGAGCTTCGTGCTGTGCTGGCCAAGAGGGTGCTTCTTCCGTACCTCCTCTGCCCTCTCTCGCAGGTGGCCTGAATCGTGAGAGGGGAGGTGGGGTTGCACCTATCATGCCAACTAGTGGCCTCCAACTCAGTCGCCGTGGGCAAAGTCACTTTCGGGCAAGGTTCGGAGGCCCTCAATCTTTGGAGCATGAACTGTCTTTCTGAGGTCATGCCCAGATGGTGCGGCTCTGCGGACCTTGCTGCACTTTCTTCGAGGCCTGTGGAAATCCGTTTACTCGGTAATGCCGAACATGCTGCAAAGACCACGACGACCACACGACGACGGCGATTGCCACTGACCGTGATACTAGTAGCAGGGTCAGCAGTCGCCGTCGCCACATGCGGTAGCGGTGGCAGTGGCAGTGGCAGCAGCAGCAGCAGCAGCAGAAGAAGCAGCAGCAGCAGCAGCAGCAGGAGCAGCAGCAGCAGCAGCAGCAGCAGCAGCAGCGCAGCAGCAGCGGCGGCGGCGGCAGCGGCGGCGGCGGCGGCAGCGACGGCAGCAGCAGCAGCCGCGGCAGCGGCGGTAGCGGCGGCAGCAGCCGCGGCGGCAGCAGCCGCGGCGGCAGCAGCATTAGCAGCAGCAGCAGCAGCGGGAGCAGCAATAGCAGTAGCAGTAGCAGTAGAAGCCGGAGCAGTAGCAGTAGCAGTGGCAGTAGCAGTGTCAGCAGCAGAAGCTACGATGGCGACCACGATCGTCTTCTATTGGTCAACACATCCCGCAGTCATAGACGAAGTTGTAGCAGCAGGATCCAGCAGCAATGACACGGTGATACACGCCTTCAGCTCATGCTGATGCTGCCCTCAGGCTGGAGTTGGAGAGACTTATTCCATGCAGAGGAAGACCTCTGTCGGTGATCCTGGCATGCGCAGCTGGTTCCGGCTCAGCCGAGATGCACCAAACCTGTGCCAGGTGCAACCATGCTGTGAGAAGTTCGACGAACTGTGGCCGTCTGTCAGGAGTTCAGTCGTGAGTCAGCGGCGAACTCAAAGCTAATGGGACGATGTGCCGTCGAGCACCTGGGGCATTTCCGATTTGCATTCTGACCGATCACTTGCTTCATGTGTCTTCTTCGGCGGTTTGCACTGCATGCCTTCCAGAGGACTTTGGAAACTGAGCAAAGTCCGCAGCAACGGGTTCCACCAGTGTTGAAGTTTCACGTTCCAGGGAGAAGGCGAGTGCCCACGCCGGAAATCTGATCGCTCCAAAGTGGTGCGCCAGGTCTGTGCAAAAGCCAATGTGCAAACCAGGTCTGAGATGAAGAGTTGTGCTGCGTGGCAGATGACAGCGCCATAAACGATCTCGGCGCGTGGCTGCACTGTATCTCAAGCGCTCGCCCCATAGTTGAGTCAAGCCAGCCGGGGCCTCACAGGCATGAGCAGACCGGTGTTCTACCCCAAACCCTCAACCCTCGGCAAAAACTCTTAACCATGCGCACTACAAATCGCAATCCCCTACTGTCGTGGAAAGAAGATGGCAACTCCGAGGCCCAGCATGGCCGAGGCGGAGGAGACCCCGGACGCTGGCGTCCGCCACCTAAAACAGCAAGATGCTGGGTCTTGGGTTTGCGGTAGGGTTCCAAGGAGCTCAGAAGACACCCGTAAACATTCGGTCCAACCTTTCGGATAGAAGAGCCCTTGTTCTTGTGGTCTCAGGGGTGTGCTGCGGTGGCTGTAGAATAGTGTGGCGCGGTGACACCGTGCTGGGTGCCGGGGCCGTAAGGGGCCATGCAGTTGGACACATGCATCACAATGACTACTGTGGCTGTGGGCGGCGGCGGTGGTGGTGTTGGCGGTGGTGACAACCGAGATGGTCGTTGTGAAAGATGTCGAACTTTCAACCCCAGGCAGATTGCTGTTACAGTGTCAGCTCATTATCATCATTATGATGACCAGTGTGATTGTGGCTGTTGGCATGGTTACGAACATTTTGCTACAGATGTCTTCGTAAGAGCAAGTTTGATCTTGTTCCTTTTTGGTTGGTATCGTTATTCAGTACGTTATTGGTGTCGGGGTTGGGTGTTGCTTTCTGCTTTCCATTACATCCGTGCCTTGATCAAGATGTTCCTCTCTCAGTCGCGTTCTTTCTGGCTCTGCGTTGTTGAGTGATGGTTTGTGCCAGGTGTGTAGTACAATACAGTAGCCTCGAAAGCTTTGAGAGGAGAAGTCTCCGCCTTTAAACGCGAGGCACCTGACGCTGCGGTGGAGGAAGCCCCGGCCGTCAGCGAGACCCCGGCTCCCCAGGTGCGGATCTGACTAAAAATACCCAGTTCCCAGCTTTCCTCGGGCTGCCAGGAGGCCGAAAAGAAAAAGAAAAAGAAGAAAAAGGCCTCCCTCTGTCTGGGCCGCTGCTGCCTGGTGCCTTCGTCACTTGTGCAGGTGAAGGAAGTCAAGTCCGTTTTCGAATCCACGCCGGCACAATCATCTGCTGAATTTTCCGCATCGAGAGTGGTCCTCCCTCCTGTGCTGTGGGAGCTTGTGGCTGTGGCTCATGGGGCTGCCTAGATGTTAGGGCGCGACGTTCCAGGGAGGTTCATTTTGCATCAGGAGTTGGTAACATCTTTTCAAGACAGATCTCATGCACGACCTTGACTGCACTCTACTACCTGCCCAGCTTTGGCTTAGCAAAATCCGGGGGAGACATGTTCCGCTTGGCCGGCAGCCATTCAAGACAGGTTGAGCTTAGCCCTTGATATCGATCGGAGCATCGATCAATCTACGTCCGACATAGAGGAACTCAATTTTTACTGCCATGGATTCGGACGACTCATCCGATGATGAATACTGGGGGTCTTACACACGGACTCCGCAGGATCGCGTGCCTGGGCAAATAGGTTTAAGTTTAGGGCTTACAGGGTTTGGGGTACAGGGTTTAGAGTTCATGACTTTTAGGGCTAGGGTTTTGTGTTTAGGGTTTAGGAGAACTGTCATCACAGTCTTGGGAGTCTTGGTCAGGAGAACTTCAGTATTCCGTCTTTGCAGCAATCTCGCCCGAAGCTTAGCTTGTGCGGGAGCTTTGGGGCATGGCTTGTAGCTTGGAAGTATATGTCAGGGAGGCTACCTGCATGCATTGTGCTAGCTATGTCCTAGAGGTACCCAACAGTGGCCGCCGGATGACCGACAAGAGTCTAACAGCTTTGCCGAAGTTGCCCAGTGGGGCAAACAAGTTTCTGGTGGCAGTTCACTGTCGACGACTTGTTCACAGGCCAGGAGAGCTTTGATCCTGCAGGGAGTATGCTGAACAAAGGATCTCAGCTGCAGGATGCAACCGAGATGCAGACGGATGCCATCGTTTCAGCCAAAAGCTTGGCTTCTGCCACAAACCCGGTGTAAGCACTCCCTCCCTCGTGCATGGAATCAAGCCGTCAGAATGCCAGGTCGACAATCAGACGTTCAAGTTGCATAATCTGCTCGGGTTTGGGAGTTTTGGCTCCGCCATCCGGGCTCATTTAGAGTGAGAGGATTTTTTAGCAGTTTTTGAGTCTCGTCCTTTTCGTACGACAGGTTTGGTTGGCAAGCTGCATCGCATCCGGCAGGATCGTTGCATTGAAGGACGCTCGGTTTTGAGAATGGCTTCGCCCATGTAGGGCTGCTTGTTGAAGCAGATCTCGCAGGAGGTGCAGAGCT